TATATATATATCACCATTTCACCATTTCATCTTTGGTGAAATGGTGAAGCTGGGACCTATAGCTCCAGAACGGTGTGAGAAGTGGGGTACACATTGGGTAGGTCACATGTCCATCACAGACAGGATGGAGGCCAAGGGAGGCAATTCTCCCCCCCTTCCCCCTCTCCCCCCACTTGCCCCACCTTAGCCAGACAGTTTTATCTTCCTGAGTCCAAAGCTTTTGTTTTGCGTGCATCTTTAATTTCTTCTAACCCTTTGAACATAAAAAGAAACGTTGATTCTGAAAGATTACGTACATGTCAACCACTATGTGGATGTTTGCTTTCAGAAATCTGGAAATTTCCCAGAAAAGTCCATAGTAGGCTAGTCTCACACAATAAAAAGAGGATGCGGGAGTCCGGCAGTGGTGGTGATAACGGCAGCAGAGCGGGACGGGATAATGCCATCGGGGTTGGTGTACAGTCTAGTGTAAAGATGGGATGACTGGCCCTTTGAAAGCATTTGGATCTTGGCAATCTGTTTGTTTCAATGAGCCATTCAATAGAGCCATTTGATTCTCAACAAGTTACATCGCATGGGTGAAACATGTGCTTTTTTAGGCAACGACTCCTCCCCATTTCCCTGAGCTCACCTCTTTTTTTTTTCTTTTTTTTTTGTGAATTAGTGAAGGAGGAGTTTATTGTCTCTGTGATTAAGGAGGCAAAGGAGGACTAAAAAAATAAAATAAAATACATATGGCTCTTTACTGTCCGCCATTTGGTTCTTGTTTGTGTAATGAGCCGTTCAAACACCTCAGATCGTTCATGAATGTCACATTTCTAGTCTAGTGGAAGGAGGAGGAGAGAGAAAACTTAGCATTTCCTGAGTTAAAAAAAAATCCATGAGATTTTCTCTATATGTCTGTATGCATGCCAAATGGTGGAACATTTACGTAATTGACACACAATCTTTAGATGTATGAAATTAGGAGTTCAAAATCTAATACATATTTATTTAAAATTAAAAATCAAACTGAAAATGAAGTTTTTTAAGGTCTTTTTGAAATAAGAAAAATCCTAAACCTAACCTTTTTCCTCCCTGCCAGTAATAGATTCTAGTTCCTCTCCTCATTTTTGTTAACTTCCGGATAAAATCCTTTCTGTGAGAGCATCCACAAAGGTTTTTATTTTAACTTTTTTTGTTGTTGTTGAATCACATTTTTTAAATTTGTCCACACTGTCTGCAGGTTTATCAGTGCAGTCTAGTCTGTTGTTGTCCTGCCTGGTGAGTCACTGTGAACGACCCATCCACTGTGTTCCGTCTCAGAGAAGAAAGCGTACATATGAAACAGTCTACAATGGTTATGTAATTGCTTTCATTAAATTGATTATGCAATCAGAGTCAGTGAGACAGGCAGACAGAGAGCTGGGGGGATGGTGTACATGTCCAAAAGTATGCCTACATACTGTATACACAGGCAGGCAAGAGGAATTTATCTTGTTAATAATTATCATAAAAACGGCTTCACATGGCGCTCTTGTCTTTGTGCTCAGTGTGACGCCAGGTTTGTCCCGGAGTTCTCTCACTATGCACACGTGTGCAGCCCCGCATACTTTCCTTTTCTTTCTCAAATTTCTCGCTCAGCCTCTTTCTTTACTCTTTCAATATTTACCAGACCCCAGGGGGCAACCAGCAGGCATGTACCATCTCTCACTTCCTGGATCAGTTTGGTTTTGGAGAGTCCCTGGCTCTTCTGCTGGCCTCTCAGTTTTGTTGTTTTTAAATAAAGCAAGCTGACAAAGACAGAGATTGAGGACTTAACAAAATGTCTCTTTTCTTCCCTTTTTTAACTTTTCGTCAGTTTCTTGCTAACCATTCTTTCGTTGGTACCTTGTATCACATCTTGCTAATGACTGCTCCATTTATCCATTTTCTCCTTTTCAATCTGTTCTACTGTCATGAGACAGTACCTCTTCATCCCAGGACAGCATTTCATAACCATGACTTATGAGTTTACATTCTGCTCGTCATCCCCTTTTTTTTCTCCAGAGTGCAGTTAAACTGAAGTCTCTTTTTGTTTCTTCATCTCTCCTTCCTCTTTCAGCCAAGAAAGCAGCGGATGGCTCAGTCATAGCAAACGGCTACTGCGATTTTTGCCTCGGAGGCTCAAAGAAGACGGGCTGTCCTGAAGACCTGATCTCCTGTGCGGACTGTGGACGCTCAGGTAGGACACCGCTGAAGGCCGTGATTGGCAGGAAAAAGGCAGCCATCTGCTGATGCAACATTTCGATGAATTTTCGTTCACCGAGTACAGAATTTTATTTATGGAAATAAAAGTTTGAATCTTTTATTAGATCTTAAAACGAATGGACCATGCCATTGTTTTTTGCTTTAGCCCATCTAATGAAAGCTTGAACGTATGTATTTGAATTGACTGATAACATTTTAAGTCCCCCTTCAGACTGGATGATGGCCCTGCTTCACTCTCTAATCATTTATTAGTACGCAGATGGACAGAGGAAAATTTGGAAAAAAATCTCCTTTACTGTGATGGCAATCATGATGCTGCTGCACTCATGGTGTTCACCAAATAGATTTTCTGCTATGTTCCACATCAAGAGACAGTCTATTTCTCATTCCTCCTACTCTATTTGTGAGCAATATATTTCCCCAATGATTTTACCACTTATGCATAATGGCACCATCCCCTAGGCCTCGCCTTGGCACTAATTACTTGGATTGCATCAGGAAGCAGCTTTGGACTAGAAGACTTTTCCACACTAACACAACTCTGCCAAACTATGTGTGGGCGTGATGAGGGTCATGGCTTCGGCAGGAGGCCTGCTTCAAGTTCTTGACGACCAAACCACACTGGTGCATGTAAACCCCATAACATAATTATGCTGCCACTAAGCTTCTCTACACTTTACACAAGCTGCCATAACAATAATAATCCACCACAACCTTACTATGAACGTTGTGTACATCCATTTTCTACCACTTATCCATAGTTGAGTCATGGATGCAACAGGTTCAGGAAGGAAACCAAGACATTTCCCCTCCAGCAAAGCTCCTTTTGGGGTGTCTCAAAGCTTTCCCATATGCAAGAGAGGATATGTTTTCTTGGTCTGCCCCAGGGTCTCGTCCCTTTTTGATTTGGAAGAGCAGTGGCACTACTCCATGCTCCTGTTGAACGGCAGAGCTTCACACCTGAGCCTGACCCCCTTAAAGATGAGACTCATTTCAGCTGCTTGTATACAAGATTTAATTCTTTTGATCATCACCCATACCTCGTGACCATAGCTTAGGGTTGGAATACGGACTGATAAGTAAATCAAGAGCTTTGCTGTTTAGCTCAGCTCCTTCTTCACAGTGACACGCAGGACCACTTCTTTCATTCTTGCAGATGAGGCCATAATTTGTCGATGTCCCATCTTCTTGTAAACTTGGCTCCCAAATACTTGACGGACTCTGTTTGGGCGAATGACTCTTCCCTGACCCAGAGTCCACCTCTTTTCTGTTGCATGCACAAAACTAGGGATACAGGATATGTACATGTCAGCTGATATCGATATTCAATATTAAAATTGCTGTTATGTCCAAAAAAATGATATTTACAGATGTTAAACAAACACACAAATTATTTATATAAATATATGCACAAACACACTTGTGTTTTGTTTCGATACCGTAAAAAATGACCAGACTGCTGACATCACTATCATGATCAAACAGATACCGCTCAACCAACTATCTCCCCTCCTGAAACAGGAACACAAATGGCAACAAGTGGGAAATCAATACCGGCCATTAATATCGGTCCAGTTTACCTATCGGACCGGGACCGATACAATATTCTAAAAAATTACCAACATCGACTGATGTCAATTCCAATATATCATGCATCCTACACAAAACCCTCCTTATTTATTAATTTGACATTTAATGTGAACACCACTGGGTTTTTGATATGCCCCTCAAAGACCTTCCTAAAACCCTAGGACCATCAGCATTTTCGCTTATTTTCTTTCCGTCAAAGTGGGGTTGTCTTCCAGTGTGAAGGAGGCCTATTACAGTGTATCAGATACATTTAAGTGTTTTTAATCATTTAACAGTGATTATCTTGATTTCGCTGCTGTATGAAAATCAGCTGTTTAAAAAAATGCACTTTTTTTACTTTAAAGAAGTTGTTCTTAAATTCATTATTTTTGTTTTGTTGCTGCAGTAGAACACAATGTGGTATTATGCAATGTAAGATTAAATCAGAAAAAATATATCTAATTTAATTGAATCGAACGAATAAAATTATAAACCAAACAGTGTGATGTGATGGTAATGGTGGCTTTAATGTGAATTGCTTTAAAATAATTTATCATCCCTTACCATGTTGTGTTTTATCGTTGGCAACTCAAGGGCTTCTTTTACATTTCATGCGTCTGATTTCACTGATTTATTGTATCAAAATTCAACAATGATTGATACTTCAGAAGTTGTGATAAATAGTAAACAAAGTTACAAATAAAGAACAAATAGACTGGATGTAGCTCATTCATTGTACCACTTTTCATTTTTAAACTAAAAGTATGCTGCTTGCAGAATCTCTGACCTGCTCTGACTTTTTAAAATAATTCAATAAAATGCCATTTTGGTGTAATATTTCTGAAAATAACAGAACTCTTCAGAACTTTGTCTACTGTTTTTTTCAGCTAAGTGTAACATAAGAAAACTTCTGTTTGGTTTTTATTTTGAGATTGATATAAAAATGTTTGTGATTGTATTTATTCAAGAATGCCAGAGATTTTGTTTGAAGTATAGTTGGAGTATGTTAGAAAATGATTGTATATTTTTCCCATCATTAGCTTATTTTGTTTGATTGTGTGAAGTGTTTTATGTGAATTTTAGTTCCATGTAAAAACCATCGATTGTAGTGTACATAGTGCAAATTTTTTGTGTCTATTATTTCATTGCATGTTCTGTATATACATATTTCTTCTTCATGTTTCTTTTATCTGAAAAATAAACAACGAAACAAAAAAATAATTTATGTGAATTGTAGTGAATGGGCTAATGCAAAACATTGGTATGGTCCCTGTCTTTAATACCACATAAAAGAAGGCAATTGAGGGTCAGAAAGTTTGAAAATGTGTCCATAATCAAGAGTACGACTGTTTCAAATTGTCTACTCAGTCACTATAAAACTATAAACTGATCCGTATCAGAATTTTAGCTGTAATTTTTCATTTTTGCCATAAAGAACTGGTCACTTAGTTCAGTAAGAGTTTAGTAGCTGTACCCTAAACTGGTAGAAAAAGACCATGATGTATTGCATCCTGAGCTGACAAAACAGGCTAACTGAGGCTAATGCTAAAATCTTCAAGCCATTATTATAATTTTGAGAATTATCAAAAATGCCTTTAATTACCTCTAAATAGCTTTGTTGTCTGAGATGCAGGGCTTTAAAACTTATTCAGAAACATGACCTGATCTTTTATAAAAAACGTTAAAAATGAACCATGGTAAAATGTATTTGAACATTTCAACCATTGTTAAGCTGTGTGGCTTGTTTAAATATTTGCAGACAGAATGCAACCCTAAAACCAGGTGTTCATACATAAATATTTTGTAGAATATATAAATTTATAACCTCAGTATATTAAGACTCTTATATAGTTAAACTAAAGTAGTTATGTTAATAATGGAACCGGTTTAGTGACACTGGATTAAAAAGAACTCATTGGTGCGAGATAGTTATTGCAGTCATTTCATTGCAGAGACTGTTGATTGTTAGCATGGACAAGTTTGAATTAATTTCATTTTATTTTAATACAGTATATGAATGAATCATAATGACATACGTTCATCACTAGCAGTTACGCATGGAGTAATTCTTAGCTATTCTTAATTCGGCTTGTCAAAATTATCTTGTAGCCACGTGTTACTATCGTGTGGGCACAAGATATTAACATGTGGCCACACATTATGTTTTTTTATATATTGTCATCAGACGGGCTCCATAGGGTATGGATAAAATACAACAAAACAGTGTACCAGATATAAAGTTTATGCCAGTTTTATGGAGACAGACAATGTTAATTATAGTTATTCAGCCAAAAGCAGTGAAATTAGGTGTCTTATAATCTCAGATACTATATACCAATGTGTAATCTAGCGTATTGTTTTTTTTTTTTTTTTTTTTTTTTTTTTTTT